CGGAACACGCTGCAGGAGGAGGAGGAATCAGGAGGAGAGAGAGCTGGAGTGGGAGGAGGAGGAGGGGGACGAGGAGGAGGAAGAGGCCTCCCAGACAGCTCCAAGATAGCCGAAGAGGCTTCCAAGAGGGCCCTGGGCGGCCCACGAGGGCCCCAAGGCGGTGCCTGAGGCGCCCAAGACGGCCCGAGAGGGCCCCAAGACGGCCCCAAGAGAGGCCCAAGAAGGGAAACACGAACCGAGAATCCGATCTTTCTACCCCGAGAGGGTCTCGGGAAGTCCCAAGAGGCCCCCAATCGGATCCAAGAGGCCCCCAAGAAGCTCCGAAGAGGGCCGACGAGGTTCCAAGAGATCTCCCAAGGTGGCCCCAAGAGGCACAACACATTGTTTTACGATTGGGCTTTGACTTTTTTTTATTTTCTGCCTTTTGGCATCCCGATGCTCCAAGACGGCCCAAGAGGCTTCCAATACCGCTCCCATATAGAGGAAGAGGCCTCCAAGAGGGCCCCAAGACGGCCCGCGAGGGCCCCAAGACGGTGCTTGAGGCGCCCAAGACGGCCCGAGAGGGCCCCAAGAGCCCCAAGAGAGGCCCAAGAAGGGGAACGCGACCCAACAGCAGAGCGGTCCCCCCACAAGGCCCACAGGAGGCCGCAAGAGGCCCCCAAGTGGTCCGACGAGGACCCCAAAAGCTTCCCCGAGGGCCTAAAAGGCCACCAGGAGACGTCCAAGAGGCTTTCAAATAGCCCAAGAGTACCCTCGATGCGTCAAAACTGCTTCCAGGAGGCCCCTGGGAGGCTTCCGGATTGCCTCAATCTGGCCGCAGGTGGCCTCAAGTCGGGCCTCCACGCAGCCAAGACGGCCAATGACGGCTTCAGATTGCAGAACCGATGCCCCCAAGGGACCTTCAGACGCCCCCCCCAAGAAGCACCCAAGAGGTGCCTCCAACAGCCAGTTGACGAAGCATGCGGAACACCCCAGAAGATCCTCAGATGCCGTCGCGCGCCTGTGCTTGATAGCGTTGTCCAAGATCGTCCAGCGCCCCCCTGGCCTGGGCTAGAACCTGAGCGCGCGCGAAGCGCGCGCGATGGTTCTAACCCAGGGGCCCGAAAACAGCTGCCCGACCCTCCATGCGAGTACCGGGGCTCATTTTCGCTTTGTTTTCACGGGGTTTCGGCGTCCCGGGCCTCGGAGGCCGCCGCGATGGTCCCGGACATTTTCCAGATCCTCGGCGCGGGCTCCAAGACCATTCCGCAGAGGGCTCCAACAGGCTCCAGGGCAGCCCAAGAGGGCTCCAAGACGGCTCCAGGAACGACTGCAGGGTCTCATTTTTCTTTTGTTTTCTGCAAGACGGCTCCAGGAAGACTGCATGTCTTCTGAGGATGGCTTCCGCCTCTTGCCCCGAGCATCCCAAACTGCCTGAACGGTTCCCACTCGCCTTCCTCAAACCCAGCGCTTGCCCAAGCGCGTTCCGGACGGTCTTCGCCGGAACGCGCTGGAATGATCACGCGCTGCGGTTTCCCATGCCAACGTCCTCGGACGTGGGCGCCCTGCCACGAGCGCGTTCCGGGAAGATGCTCCTGGAACGCGCTGAAAAGATATGGCCACATCTCGGGGACGCTCCCGGCACTGCTGCCCCAGCCTTTCTGGGCAGCCTCCACAGCGCTCCAGGAGGGCCCAAGACGCCCCCTAGGAGCCCCCAGAATGCGAAAGGATGGCCCAAGACGCTCCCGAGCAGCCCAAGTCAGCCTTCCGACGGCTCTCGAGGCTCCCAGGTGGCCTCCAAGAGACCCCAAGAAGTCTGATAGGTATCGCGGTACGGCCCGGAGAGGCCAAAGTCGTATATGTTCAATGTTCTTTTCAATGTTTTTGGCTTCTCGCGTTTTCGAGCTCCCATCGGTCCAACAGCGCCGAAAAGCCTCCATGGGGGTACTGGGGCTCATTTTCCCTGTGTTTTTCAAAGGGTTTCCGCGTCCTGGGCCTCGGAAGGCGCCGCCTCCGACCCCCCATGGGAGGAGGGGCGGCCGGGGAGGTCCAAAATAGTCCAGGAGGGCCTCCAGAGGCTCCCAAGACGGCCCAAGCGGGCCCCGAGTCGCCGAAAGACCGCTCCAGGACGCCCAAGATAGGCCCAAGACGGCCCGAGAGGCGCCCCAAGGCACTCCACGACGCTTCAAGACGCCTCTCCAGAGCGCTTCCAGAGGCCGAAATCGTCAAGTTTACGAAGGTTTTCGAACGATTTTGGCCTTCCAGCCTTTTCGGCTGTCCGACGTTCCACGACGGCTCAATAGGCCCCCAAGAGCGCCCCAAGACGGCCCAAGAGGGCCCCAAGACGGCCCCAGAGTCGCCCAAGACAGCCCAACAGAGCCCCAAGACGGCCCCAAGATGCGCCCAAGAGGGGGACCACGACTCCAAAATTCGACCCTCCGGCTTGAAGAGTGCCCCAGGAGGCCCCAAGGAGCCCCCAAGAGGCCCCAGGATGCCCCCAACAGGCACCCAGGAGGCCCAAACGAGGCCTACAGAGGCCACAAAACAGCCCCGAGGAGGCCCCACAACGGTCCCAAAACGGCTACCGAGAAGCTGCGAAACTGCCTTCACGACGTCCCCGACAGGCCAACCACGAGATCCAAACCAACACCCATGAGGCCTCTGACCCACCACCCAGGGCACGGTGGCGGCAGCAGTGACAACACTTGTGCACAGCATGTTCCGGCGGGAGCCTTCCGGAACACGCTGCAGGAGGAGGAAGATCAGGAGGAGAGAGAGCTGGAGTGGGAGGAGGAGGAGGGGGACGAGGAGGAGGAAGAGGCCTCCCAGACAGCTCCAAGATAGCCGAAGAGGCTTCCAAGAGGGCCCTGGGCGGCCCACGAGGGCCCCAAGGCGGTGCCTGAGGCGCCCAAGACGGCCCGAGAGGGCCCCAAGACGGCCCCAAGAGAGGCCCAAGAAGGGAAACATGAACCGAGAATCCGAGCTTTCTACCCCGAGAGGGTCTCGGGAAGTCCCAGGAGGCCCCCAATCGGATCCAAGAGGCCCCCAAGAAGCTCCCAAGAGGGCCGACGAGGCTCCAAGAGATCTCCCAAGGTGGCCCCAAGAGGCACAACTCATTGTTTTACGATAGGGCTTTGACGGTTTTTTTCAGCCTTTTGGCATCCCGATGCTCCAAGACGGCCCCAAAGGCTTCCAATACCGCTCCCACATAGAGGAAGAGGCCTCCAAGAGGGCCCCAAGACGGCCCGCGAGGGCCCCAAGACGGTGCTTGAGGCGCCCAAGGCGGCCCGAGAGGGCCCCAAGAGCCCCAAGAGAGGCCCGAGAAGGGGAACGCGACCCAACAGCAGAGCGGTCCCCCCCCAAAAGCTTCCGCGAGGGCCTTCCCCGAGGACCCCCGCTTCTGGGAGACATCCAAGAGGTTTTAAAATAGCCCAAGGGTGCCCCAAATGCATCAAAACTGCTTCCAGGAGGCCCCCGGTTTTAAAATAGCCCAAGGGTGCCCCAAATGCATCGAAACTGCTTCCAGGAGGCCACCGGGAGGCTTCCGGATTGCCTCAATCTGGCCGCAGGTGGCCTCAAGTCGGGCCTTCACGCAGCCAAGACGACCAATGACGGCTTCAGATTGCAGACCCTCAGACGCCCCCCCAAGAGGCACCCAAGAGGTGCCTCCAACAGCCAGTTGACGAAGCATGCGGAACACCCCAGAAGCTCCTCAGATGCCGTCGCGCGCCTGTGCTTGATAGCGTTGTCCAAGATCGTCCAGCGCCCCCCGGGCCTGGGCTAGAACCTGAGCGCGCGCGAAGCGCGCGCGATGGTTCTAGTGTATGTATATCTATATATACACATATACATATATATGTACGTATATATGCATGTATGTATGTGTGTGTATGTGTGTATGTAGGTATATGCATATGTTTATGTAAATGTATATGTATATGTATATGTGTATGTATATGTGTATGTATATGTATAAATATATATAAATATGCTGATGTACACGTATATGATTATGAACATGTATATGTATATGTATGTGTACATGTATATGTATATGTATATGTATATGCATATGTATATGTTTGTGTACATGTATATGTATTTGTATATATATATATATATATTTCTGTATATGTATAGGTATATACATACGTATATGTATATGGATATGTCTGTGTGTATGAATACGTACATGTATATGTATATGTGTATGTATTTGTATGTGTATTTGTGTATGTATATGCATATGTATATGTATATGTATATGTAGATGCATATGTAGATGTGTATGTGTATGTGTATGTATGTGTATAAGTATAGGTATATGTACATGTGTAAGTATATGTATATGTCTTGGTATATGTATAGCTGTCTGTATGCATGCATGTATGTGTATATATGTATATGTATATGTATATGTATATGTATATGTATATGTATATGTATAGGTATGTGTATATGCATATGTATATGTATATGTATATATATATGTTTATGTATTTGTATATATATGTATATATATACATATATATATATATATGTGTGTATGTGTATGTGTATGTGTATGTATGTATGTATGTATGTATGTACGTATGCATGTATCGATGTATAAATGTTCATATGTATATGTATATGTATACGTATATGAATATATATATATACATATATATATGGACATATATTTATATACAGAATATCTCTATATATATGTATATATATAATAGAGAGAGAGAGAGAGAGAGAGAGAGAGTAGTCGCATAGTGGGCCGGAGGGGCCTTGAAGGCTCCAAGGCGGTTCGGAAGGGGCCCCGGACACTCCCAGAGGCTCCCAAGCTGGCCCACGAGGCGCCCAACGCGCCGCTGGTTGTCAGGAAGTGGCTGAAGAGCGCACTGAGATGGCTTTCGGACGGCCCACGAGCGCTCAAAGACACCCCAATATTGCTCCTAACGGCCCCAGGGGCTCCCAAAATGAGCCCAAGACGGCCCAAGAGGCCCCCAAGAAGGCACCCAGACGGCCTGAAGAGAGTTTCGAGCAGCACAAGAGAGCTCCAACACGGCCCAAGAGAGTACCCAGGAACCCTCCGCAGCCATTTTGGCTCAAGCCATTTTGGCTCAAGCAGCCAACACACATCTTAACACGGCCATCTCAATTGAACAACTTTTCTTGCTCTTCCTTCCAGCCATCGTCGATTCAGCGATGGCGTTCAAGCTGATTTTCGCGACGACACCCGTGCTCGCTTCCAAGGTGGGCGCCGTGATGAACCTCATCGAGACGTCCGAGCGCGGGATGGACGACGGCGGTGCTCTAACGCCAGCTCCGTTCCTTGCACAGGGTCGGTGGTTCCTGGGCGAGAATACGGAGACATGCGACGCGGTCTGCAGCAAGATTGGGTCGACTTGCGACCAGAGCTCCTTGAACGCAGTGATGAGTGACACGGCGACCACCAGACTGGCCTATCTCGACGCGTTCAGCAAAGCGTGGGACAGCATGGAGGCAGAGATGGGGAGCAATTTTCCGGGTAGGGCGGACCATTGTTTCATGAGCGACGATTTGCCGGTCCGCAATTGGGCTCCACGCATCATTCTTGGACACACAACCAAAAGTTGGCCCTATTATGATTGCTTGGTCGGTACCTCATCCAATCCGTTGTGCTCTGCAACTACGCCGGGCGGTCATCGTCGCCTCTGCCCGTGCATGTCGGGGCTCCCTACTTCCGCCCCGACGGTGGCACCGACCGCGCCACCGACCGCGGCACCGACGCTGGCGACGGCCATCGGTGATCCGCACTTGCAAAATATCCACGGTGAACGGTTCGACCTCATGACGACAGGCACCGTTCTATTGATCAGCGTCCCACGTGGGAAGCGCGTCGAGGACGCGTTGCTTGCGGTACAAGCAGATGCGCGTCGCCTGGGTGGACATTGTTCCGACATGTACTTCCAAACGGTGAACATTACAGGGGTATGGGCGGACAAGCTGCAGGCCGGCGGTTTCACCTTCGACGCCCAAGGCGTTCAGAGCCACAAGGTGCCGCAGTGGACGAAATTAGGGCCGGTGGAGGTGAAAGTCGTCCGCGGGCGCACGGAGAAGGGGACCAAGTACTTGAACTTCTTCGTCAAGCATCTTGGGGATGCCGGCTTTGCCGTGGGAGGGCTATTGGGAGAAGATGATCACGCGGATGCAGCGAGGATCCCAGAAGGTTGCCAGATAAGAATGTCTTTGCGTAAGGCGAGCCAGACCAGCGTGAGGGCTGAGCTGGCGTCGGTGGCGGTCGCATTTTGAGTCGACCTCGCCTCTTTCAGACCCTCTTACTTTATACCCGAGGAGGAGGGGGGTGAGGTGGAGGAACGATCCAACCTGGAGAAGACGGCAGTTTTCTCGGCATTGCGCGCACCTCGGTCCTAGGACTGGCGCTGAAGCATATATTTTCAGACTGCAGTTCCCCCGGCAATGCTGCGCGCACCTCGGTCCCACACTGGTGTGTCGGTGCCAACGAAAACAAGAGAGTACCCAGGAACCCCGAGGGGGCCACCGGAGCATCCCTGCATGGTCGGAGAGGGCCCCCCGACGGCCCCAAGACGGGCTCAGGTCCCCATGACGGGCGAAGAGGGACCCGGAACGGCCGAACTGGGCTCCCAGAGGATCCCCAAAAAGGCTCCCAGAGGGCCGAACCAGGCCCCCGGGTGTAAAAAGCTAGCATTTCCCAGAGACAAACGTACATTTCTAGGATATTCGCTTCTTATGTTCCATCGGCGGCCACGTCGGCCCCAAATGCTCCCCAAATCGGCCCCCAATAGGGCTCCAAGACAGCCTCAAGAGAGCGTCGAGCAGCACAAGAGAGCTCCAAAACAGTCCGGGAGTCCGAAGGGGGCCCGAGCGGGCCACTGGAAGATCCCTACATGGTCGGAGAGGGCTCCATGAGGGCGCGCGGTGGCCAGGTAAGCGTCGCGGCCCCCAGGACCTGGCGCGGCACTGCGCAAGACTTTCTTCCCCCGCGCACTCCTGGCATTGGCGGCGGCCTTCGCTCCTCCAAGATTGCGCTCTCGCACCCTGGCCTCCCGCTTGGCAACAGAGGCGAGAACTATTGCAGCCGCGCGGGCTGTATCTGCGACGCTCGCCTGGGTCGCCTCCTGCGCCGCCGCGGCGAGATCGGGGGCGGCCTCCGCGAGAAGGCGAGCGCGCTTGCTCGGGGAAGCGGGCACCACGGCGGCGATGGCAGCTGCTCGCTTGCGGCCGAAGCCTACCTCTGACCGACGTCCAGGCCGAGGCTCCCTTGTGATTCCTGTGTCGCGCCTCTCGGCCCTCCTCGTTGCCCCGACCTGCCCTTGGAAGCGTCCATGTAGCTGGAGCAAATGCTTGTGCCAACGCCTGACGGGCTCGTCCCGCTGCTGCTGGTCCAGCCAGGAGCGCGGCAACTTGCTGGGGGGCGCTTGGTCCACGAGCGTGCGTTCCCCAACGGAAGCATCCAGCAATCTAGCCCTCTCGGGGCCATGCACCTCAGAGAAACGGCGGACGCGCTGCTGCAAGTTGCCCGTGCTCGTTTTCCAAACTAGGAAGAGCTCCGCAAGACGACGACCAATGTTGAACTCGGGCCACTCCGCCGCAACGCGGCCCCAAGCCTGCCGCGCGGTGCCCCGTCTCGACGATGTATCTCGGCGCGCTTCAGCAGTTTCCGCAGTTGGGCAATTGCGTGCTGCTCAGGAAGTTTTGCCACCCGACAGGTGCGCCTCAAACTGGCCTCGGCTTCTGTTGCGTGCATACATGTGTATGTCTGTATGTATCTATGTATATATATATATATATATATATCTATACGTATATACATACGTACGTCTGTACGTATGTACGTATGCACGTATGTACGTCTGTACGTATGTACGTATGCACGTATGTACGCATGCACGCATGTACATATGTACGTATGTACGCATGTACGTATATGTACGTGTGTACGTATGTACGTGTGTACGTGTGTACGTATGTACGTACCTGCGTATGTACGTATGTACGTACGTACGTACGTACATATGTGTGTACATATGTGTATATGTATGCATGCATGTATGTATGTATGTCTGCATGCATGCATGCATGCATGTACGTACGTACGTACGTACGTATGTATGTATGTATGTATGTATGTATGTATGCGTGTACACGTATATGTATGTGTGTATGTATGTATGCATGCATGTATGTATGTATGTTTGTGTGTATGTGTGTATGTATGTACGTATACGTGTATGCGTTGGTGTGTATGCATGTATGTATGTGTGTATGCATGCATGCATGCATGCATGTATGTATGTATGTGTGTATGTGTGTATGCATGCATGCATGTATGTATGTGTGTATGTATGTATGTATGCATGCATGCATGCATGCATGTACGTACGTACGTATGTATGTATGTTTGTCTATATATATATACAAGACTGCAGTAGGCGCTTCGCGCCACGCACCTTGGTCCTTGAAGTTCGGTGTGCTGGCGGAAAGGCGAGGAGGCCAAGCCGACACATTAGCGATACTTCCTTGTTGTCTTATCCTGCGTCGCCGTTATAACCGTGGTGTTCGTTGTCTTTTCTCTATGTTTTTCCACGTTCTCGCCATACCTTGCGCGTTGTCCCCATTCTCCCCACTCTCTCCTTGGAGAGCCCCTGGGGGCTTCACACAAAAATCAGGCTTTCTTAAAGCCTTTGGAGGCCTCGTGGGCGTGTTCTGGGGGCCGCTGGGGACTGCCTAGGGCCGCCCTGCCTCCAGCCGCAGTCTACATGAACAACCTGGTCACGATTTGGAATGCTTCGGAGGGTGTTTTGGGGCCATCGTGGGCCGCCATAGGGGCTCTCTTAGGGCCTTCTTGGACCGTGGGTGTGCCGTTGCGGGGCTCTCTTGGGGTGCCCGGAAGCCCGTTCGGATGGTTGCGGGGCGATTTTGTGGTCTCCCAGGCGGCTTCGGACGCCCAGAAGTCCGCCGTTTTGGGACATCGGGGGGCCGAAAAGAGGAGAATCTCCAAATTTACAAAAAACAAAAAAAAACACCAGATAATCTGCCTCTTGGGGCCTTTTTGGGAGTGTTCTTGGAGGCCCCTTGGGGCGTTTTGGAGCGATCTTCGGGGGCATGGCGGCTTCTTGGGTGTTATCGTGGGCCGTGTTGGGGCTTTCTGGAGTCGTTTCGGGAGCGCGCCAGAACGCCAGGAACCCCGTCTGGGGCCGTATTCGGGCTCTCGTGAGGATCTTCTGAAGGGTTGCCCCGAGGCCCGGGGAAGGCCAAATTCGTAAGGAAAATGGGGGGGGGGAGCGCTTTTTCCAGCGTCCCCAGCCCTTAAACTATATGGATAGGAATATCGGAGGAGGCAGGGGTGGGGCCGGGCCGCTGCCTGCACCCCCCATGGGCGCCCCCCGGGGGTTTTTGGGGGTGTCAGAGCTCCCGAGGCGGCCCGGGCCCGCCCCGAAAAAGGCCACGACAAGCTGGGGGGATCCCGAGAGGGCCCAAGACGGTCCCAAGAGGCCCCGAATACGTCCAAGATGCCTTCAAGACGGCCGACGGGGACTCCAACACGCTCCAGGACGGACTCAAGAGGCTCCCCAAGAGGGCCCTGGGAGACAAAATTAATTTCTTGTCCGAGGGTTTTTGAAGGATTTTGGCGTTCTCAAGTCTCCCGCTTCCCAGCGCTCCCTCACGGCCTCGGAGGCCCTTCAGATCGCTCCAAGTCGGCCCGCGAGGCCCCGAAGAGGGCCCCAAAACGGCCCAGGAGGCCCCCCAGACAACCCAATTGTGCTCCAAGAGCGCCCCAAGAGGGGGCCCAGAGGGGGACCGCGAACCGAAATTTCAAGGTCTTTGGTCCTACAGGCCCCCAGTAAGGCCCTTGGAGGCCACCAAGAGGCTCCCACGAAACCCCGTGAGGCGCCCAGACGGCCCCCAGGAAGCTTCAAAAGGCCCCCCAAGAAGCCCCCAGGGAGCGACCCCCCATGAGCCTCCCCAACACACCCCAAGAAATCATGTCCCCAGAAAGCGTTCCGGGGACATGGTTCATCATGGGCCCGAGAGTCTCCGGAGGCTCCAAAGTACCATCGCGCTACTGGAGGGCTGTCTGGGAAGTTGACTGGGAACATGATTGATCGCCTTCTCGCGGCCCTTCGCGGATCGTTTCGCACAAAGTTGCCCCAAGTGCCTTCTTGAACCGACGATGGAAACGACGAAACGACGAAGACGAGAACGACGATGACGCCGACGACGATGCCGCGCCCCAAGAGGCGACGACGACATTACGACGACGACGGCACGCCGCAACAGGCGGCCCAAGACGCCCCCCAAACCCATGTTCCCAGAAGGCCTTCTGGGAACCCGATTCATCAGACCTTCGCCCCCCGACGCAACCATCTTCCCCGAAAGCCTTCCGGAATGCCGATTGACACGCATGGATTTCTCACTGCTTATAAGTCGTTCAGCGTTATGGGCGCTTCTTCACCTCCCGTTTTCCAACCATTTGTAGTCCACCACTCCAATGGAGCAGTGAACTCGTCAAGGCCTGGGGCCTGTTAGAGCCTGAGCGCGCGCGCGAAGCACGCGCGATGGTTCTAGTGCATATATATATATATATATGCATGCACGTATGCGTGCATGTATGTATGCATGCATGCATGCACGTATGTATGTATGTCTGTATGTGTTTGTCTGTCTGTCTGTCTGTGTGTATGTAGGTATGGTAGGTAGGTAGGTAGGCAGGCAGGTAGGTAGGTAGGTAGGTAGGTAGGTAGGTAGCTAGGTAGGCATGCACACATGGGCATCTTGGGGGCCTCTTTGAGCCTCTGTTGGGTTTCTCGGGGGCCTCGTAGGCTCTTTTGGGGGCCCTCTTGGGGGCTGGGGGCCTCTTGGGAGCCTCTTGGGGCCTCCTTGGCGCCTCTCGGGGCCTCCTGGCGGCTTCTTGGGGCGGAAGCCTCGGATTCTCGGTTCGTGTTCCCTCTCTTGGGTCCCATTCGGGGCCCTCTTGGGCCGTCTTGGGAGCCTCTTGGGCCGTCCTGGGGCGCTCTTATGTCGTCTTGGGGTCCTCCTGGAGACCTCTAGAGCGTTTTGGGATGGTCTTGGGGGCCTCGTGGGCCGTCTTGGGGCGTCGGAAAACAGAAAAGGCGGGAACTCCAAACTGTGTCGAAAACCCCCAAAGGAAGATCCATACTTCTTGCCTCGTGGGCCCCCTTGGGAGGCCTCTTGGGGCGTTTTGGAGGTTTCTTGGGCTGTCTTCGGGCCGTCTTTGGCATCTTGCGTCGATCGCTCGGCGACTCGGGGCCCTTTTGGACCGTCTTCGGGCCCTCTTGGAGACCTCTTGGTCCGTCTTGGAGCTTTCTTGCCGCCGAAGGAGTCACGCGAGAACCCGCGAGAAGCCCCACGGGGCACGCGGGAAAGCCCGAGGGATTTGTCAGTTTGGGGCCTCGGGCCCCTCAGGCCCGAGGACACACCCATTCCGTGGCCAGCGGTACGGTGGCGTTCTAGCTGTACTAATACAGCGGGTACCAACATACATAGAAAACTGATCCAACTAGACCTTTGGCC